GCCTCTTCCTTTGCCTTTCTGGCCTCTTCCTCTGCCTTTCTGGCCTCTTCCTTTGCCTTTCTGGCCTCGGCTCTCTTGAGGGCTTCTTCCTCGGCTTTCTTGAGGGCTTCTTCAGCTCGTTTGGCTTCTACAGCCCGTCTCTCTTCGGCCAATTTGGCTTGCTCTTCGTGGAAGGCGATCACTTCGGGACTCGAAAGGATGTTTGCTCCACGGGCTTGGCGTTCGTGATCAGGTGAGTTGCTGAGATAGCTGGCGAATGCAATCAGGACCTCGGGGTTGTTGGAGTAGATAGGCTGCGGGAGTGTTAGTTTGGTGCTGGCTGGTTTGGGATGAGTGAGTGGTTGGACTTACCAGGATGTGGCTGACAACTGGGTCGCTGGGAGGACCAAGGTAGAGCGGCAACTTGATGGCGTGAATTCCGTGGCGGATCCACTGGATGTTGTCGATTTGGATCCACTCGGGGGAGGTGAGCGTTGCGAGACGGTTGGTTGTTGGGGTAAAGTTGGGTGTTTGATCGAAAGAGCGAACCCATTGGCTGCCTTGGCGGACCCAGACGAATTCTTCGCGGGTGGTTGGTTCTTTCCAACCTGGGTTCCAGTTCCGCGAACTGATTGAGTTGCCATCGGGTGAGATCGCCACGGAGGTCACATAGTGTGTGTGTCCCTCGAGGGTGTGCTTCACCTGGCCAGTCGTGGCATCCCACACCTTGATGGTATTGTCCCCAGAGCCAGAGACAATCCACTTGCCATCGGGTGAGATCGCCACGGAGTTCACGTAATCTGTGTGTCCCTCGATGGTGTGCTTCACCTGGCCTGTGGTGGCATCCCACACCTTGATGGTCTTGTCAGCCGAGCCAGAGACAATCCACTTGCCATCGGGTGAGATCGCCACGGAGGTCACATACCATGTGTGTCCCTCGAGGGTGTGCTTCACCTGGCCAGTCGTGGCATCCCACACCTTGATGGTCTTGTCCATAGAGCCAGAGACAATCCACTTGCCATCGGGTGAGATGGCCACGGAGATCACCCAGTTTGTGTGTCCCTCGAGGGTGTGCTTCAGCTGGCCTGTGGTGGCATCCCACACCTTGATGGTCTTGTCCTCAGAGCCAGAGACGATCGATTTTCCATCGAGTGAGATCGCCACAGACCAAACAATATTTGTGTGTCCCTCGAGGGTGTGCTTCAAGCTGCACGAGACACTATCCCACGTCTTGATTCTTTTGTAGTCCCCATTCTTCACAATTGCCACAAACTTGCCATCAGGTGAGATTGCCGAAAGACGGACATCTCCATTGTGATCGGTGAAGGTTCTCGTGATCTCCCCGGTGCTGGCATCCAAATGCTTGATTGTCAAGTTAGTTTCGACAACTACGATGGTCTTGCCATCAGGTGAGATCGCCACGGAGTTAACATCTCTTGTGTGTCCCTTGAGGGTGTGCTTCAGTTGGCCAGTCGTGGCATCCCACACCTTGATGACACCGTCACTGGTCCAAGTGGCAACCCAGGTCCCATCTGGTGATGTGATCATTGCGGCAATCGATCCGAATTGCTCGACTGGACAATCCCAATTCTTCTTAAGTCCAATGGTGACCAGGAATGGAATCTTGTCCTCGAGTCGAGAGGCATATGTCTTGTAGATCGCGGTCTCCTTCGGTGTGAAGGCATACCCCGAGTTGTAGACCTGAGGTGCACTCTTGCTGATGGGATCGGCAAACTCCAGCACAAACTTGTGGATATCCTTGACCAGCTCCTGGGTCGATTGGTCGAATGTTTGCCCAGGTGTGTTCAAGACCATGTTCTCGAGCATACCAACCTGATTGGTCAGACCAGGGATCACGCCGATGAGGGAACCGCATTCGAGCCAGAAGAACACATGGCTTGAGAGGAATCTGGACAGTGTATCCACTAGACCGGATGGACGGTATTGTTTCCATGTATATCGATCGAGGGTGGTGTCGGTCATACACCAGACATAGTGTGTGATCCAATGGACGACGCTGTATCGGAGCGAGTCAGGTATCTTGGCTCTGACTAGGTCGTTGAAGTTTGGGATCATGTCGTGAAAGTCGTAGATCTCGCAAATGTTGACCACCGGTTCGTGCGAGAGGATCGACAGCAGGCACTGTGAGGCGAATGCCATATGAAACTTGGGGGTCACATGGAACGGCTCGTCAGCAGATTCCTTTCCGAGCAGGTAGGTGACGATCGACTTGTGCTTCTGGGCCTTAGCCAATGAGCTACCCTCCTTGTTGTGGCTCAGTTTGCCAGGATCGAGGACGGGTCCAAGCTCCTTGATGCATCGACGGACGACTCGGATGTCGATTCCAAAGAGATCGGCAATCATTCGGATGGTCAGGGGAGACTGTGATGTTGCGATGGCCGAGCTTATCAGCGCGAGTTGGAGTTGATATTTGGACTTTGCATAAACGCTAGCAAAGGCACGCTGATAACCAGTACTGTCGTTACCATCAACGATCGCGAACCAGAGGTCAAAAACATCGTCCGCATCCTCGTCCGAGTCAAAATCGATCGTGGTATGGAAATTGAGCAGGTGTTGCACATCTGCCGGGTTTTTGACGGGGACTGGCTCAGATGCCAATAATGATGCAATTGGAGGAGTTCGTGAAGACGATGGCCCGGAAAATAAAGCTCGGGGAGATGAACAGTCTTGAGACGACTCGAATGAAACGGAGCTCCGAGGGGCGATGATAGTGGGCCTATACTCTCCGTCTTGAGCGGGATAGAGCTCTGTGGACTGGCGGAGGATGGCGAGGATCTCGGGGAACTTGGGTCGCTGGGAGGGGTCTTGGTGCCAGCAGCGCTCGATGAGGGCACGGATGTCGTCGGGAATGCCGTCAAACTGCTTGGGGCGAACTCCTCGGAGGACAAGGCGCTCGACGACACTCTCCCTCATCGGCTGTCCATCGATGGTGACCCAGATGGGCTTGCAGTCGTTGAAGACCTCGTAGAGGGTGACGCCGAATGCATACACATCGGTAGCCTTGGATGAGCCGGTAGGACGCTCGTCATCGAGCATTTCCGGTGCAATATACTCGAGAGTGCCGCCTGTCGGCTGGTCGCGGCGGGTTCGATTGGCCGAGGCCGAGGTGTGCTTGGTGCGGGACATTCCAAAGTCGGTCACCACAGCATTGGATGAGCCATCCAGCAGCACATTGAGGGACTTGAGGTCGCCGTGGACAATGTTGTTGCCGTGGAGATAGGCCATGCCCGAGGCAACCTCATAGAGAAGGCGGATCTTTTCACCCAGAGGACGAGGGGTGGGTGCGGTGGCAAAGTGGTTGCGGAGGGTGCCGTTGGGCATGAACGGCGAGACCATGAAGGGTTTAGTGGCTGTGTCGCAGGCGCCGAGGAGTGGAAGGATATGGGGGTGACTGAGTCTGTGCCAGATGCCAATCTCACGGCCAAAGTCGGCGAGTTCGTTCTGGTTGTAGCCCCTATAGAGCTGCTTGATGGCGACAGGGGCGCCATAGTACGAGGCCTTGAACACCTCGCCAAAGCCACCGGCTGCGATAGGATTGACTGACCGGTCGGTGATGGCTTCTTCAGGGATATACCAGGGTTTGTCGGCCATGGTTGACAACGGGAGACGGGACGAGGACTGAAGGAGGCGAAAACGGAGGGATACCCGCTGGACGAAGAGAAAGGAGGCAATCCTCTCTTATATTGCCAGAAAATGCGCCACCGGGGTGGATGTCGCCAACCGGGCTCAGCCATGTCCATACACGCCGGGCTGGTGATACCAGGCTCCTCTCCAGCTGTTCGATACACGACTGCAGTGTATTATTTGCATCGAGGTATGATAAGTCGTCGAACACCATATCCTTTTCAGACTGGAAGCGAGGGGGTTGGACACCGGAGTAGAAGCGACCTGCACGACGGATCGGAGCGGGAGCAGGAGAAGGAGAGAGCTGGGCCACGAAGCTGCGGAGGTGTCATGAACGCTGACGACCCCTCACGACGAGCTAAGATCGGTGATGCGCCTGGAAGGGTTGAGGGCATCATCCTGCTCATGGAGGAACTTGGAGAAGTCCTAGAGAGAACGGGCGTTCTCAGCAGACTGGACGATGACGGCACGGATGGCCTGAAGCTCGGGCTCGGAAGTGCCGAGGGAGAAGGTGTGTGTGGGCAAGCCAGCCTGGTCTGGCCTGGTCGCAGGCAGAAACGCGAGCAAAAATGAACTTTCGGAGTGGGTGGCGCGCCAAAATACGAACCACCACGAAGCAAAACCGCCTATTTCCAATCGCGGGGATCGAACCTGGGTTGCCAGTAGGAAGGCCACCAAGTCGTTTGAATGACATAAGGTTCAGTGGTATGTGTGTGTTTTGTTTTCAGGAAGAGCACGTACGAGGAATTGAACTCCGGACCCACCGTGTCGGTGGCACGCGCTATCGAGTGGACTAAACTCGCTCCTTGCCTGACATGGCGCTACCACCACCTTTCACCCTTCTCACCACACACGTGACTCCAGACCACTCATTTGGGTCAAATGCTCAGGGACAATGGATGTCTCTGAGCCTCGTAGACTCACAGATGATCAATGGAGAATTCAAGAACAATGTATTTCAATTATCGACCAGACATACGCTTACTGGCTGGCCTGAGTAGCCGGGAAAGCAGCGACATACGAGCTTCCATCAGGAGCAATGCCGACCGGGGGTGCGGTGCTGGGCTGCTGGGCGACGACCGGCTGTGTCTGAGCGGGAGGTGCTTGCTGAGCAATGACCGTGGCGACGGGGGTGGCATCAGCGGCCGCAGAGACCGGTTGCTTCTGAGGGCGGGGCAACGCCGAAACCTTTCCGGTAGAGGTGGAGGCGCCGCTGAACCAAGGGCAGAACTTTCTCGCCGCCACATAGCTCACACCCACGACGACAACGATGATGATGCCCCAGAAGATGTACGGGTTGGACGAGATGTAGTCGGTATAGTCAGAAAACGCCATGCTGAGCAATGTATTGTCTTACAGATAAGTCAATAAAAAAAGTTTGCAGCAAACACCACGGCGCTCATTCCATCTGGCGCAAGGCGAGCTCAGCACCTCTGGCGTACAATTCCTTGGCCACCTCAGGGTTTCTGGCAAAACCCACACCATCGGAATAGCGGCGAGCCAAGTGTCGCATCGCCGAGGGGAGTTCCTTTGTGGTGTTGTTGATGATGGCGTTGACTTGGTTGTCGTCAAAGTCTTTGAAGTATTTGAGGCTGATCTCCTCGAAAGAGAACTTTGACCCAAGTGTGGCGGCTTGAACGTGCAATTCGAACGCCTTGGCAATGGAGCGACTGGTACCACGGCCAAAATGGTAGCATGTTGCGAGTCCCGAGATACCCTCGGCAAACGACTGACTCGCTGCCTTGGAGAAGAACTCGAATGCTTTGTGGTAGTCCTTCTCTACACCATCACCCTCGTAGTATGCACAGGCGATGTTGTACTGTGCACTGACATGTCCTTGGTCGGCGGCTTTCTTGAACCATGAAAATGCGACTTGGCTGTCTCTGGTGATGCCGATGCCATCGAAGTAGAGTGTGCCAATGACATTCTGAGCACAGGCCAGACCACCATCGGCTGCGAGAACAAGCCATTTGAGACATCTGGCCGAGTCCTTGTCGACATATATGCCATTGAGGTAACACATCCCAACCTCGAAGCAGCCGGTGAGGTTCTCCGCCTCAGCAGCCTTTCGGAAGTTGCAGAATGCTTCTTGGTGATTCTTGGGGACTCCGATGCCATCGCGATAGCATCGGCCAAGACGAAACTGTGCCTCGGCGTTGTTCCTCGCGGCCAGTATAGAGTACGCTTTCGCAGCCAGCACAAGATCTTGCTGGTCGAGGATATCGTTGGTGAGATATTGCTCGATCGGTGCGGTTGATCCATTCGGCAGCTTCTCCAGACACCCAGTCAGTAGCCTGGCGGCTCTCACATGGTCGATTGGGAGACCAATGCCATTCTGGTAGCGTACTCCCAGTGCATACTGCGAGGGTAGATGACCATGCTTGGAAGCGTGGATGAACCACTTGGATGCGATGACGTCGTTCTTTTCGACGCCATCTCCCTTTGCGTAGTGGTACGCTAATTTTGCCATGGAAGAGACACATCCAGTATTCGCAGCATTGACCAAGGCCACGATGAAGCTCCTCTGTGGCTGTGGGCCAGGTGGTCTGGGGTGCGCTGATGTGATGTTCTCTTGAGCATTGCCGAGTGAGCTCTTCTTGGCGATCTGGGCGAATGTTACGGGCGGTGACTTGCGTTTGGCCATGATGGAGTGCGATGCGAGGGGAAGCGTCTGCTCGCAACCCACCACCCGACACCGATATCAACCGGACACCCTTGCACGCCGCACTCGCCGCTCCTGAGCACGTTACACCGATTTCTATAAAATAGCTATATTAATTATTAATCTTCCACCGCTTGTCACAGGTCAGACAGTGGGCGTATATGGTGCTGGCCTCGTCCGAAGAGCGATGCTGGGCCAGGATGAACTCGGTGTTGTATGAGTCTCTGCCCATGCGAGCACAGTCCGTGCATTTCATCTGTCCGTCGGCTCCTCCGGACTTGCCGTTTGCCGCTGCTGCCGCCGTCGTGCCGGTGACCCCCTGGTCTTGTGCCAGCCAAGCGTCTGGACGAAGGTTCTGGTGTGTCAGATCATCCAGCCGGGAAGGATCTTGAATGACACCCGAGTCGAGCAAGCCGACGATGGCCTCCAGGTTCGACAGCATCATGATGGCGCGGGACTTGTATGCGTCTCGGAACTGCGGGTTGATCCAGCTGCACACGCCCTTGTAGGTTGTGGTGGCATAGCGATAGATGCTCTCTTCCAAGACCTCGGCGTGGTCGGGCGTCTTTGCCTGGAGGGTCTGCAGGGCGATGCTACGCGGCGAGTCCATTGGGTGCTATTGCATATGCCGAGGATGAAACCCTTACTGCGTTTTTTCTGACACACCCTTCGCAGCAGACCAATGTCAAGTCAAATCTGGATCATCGTGGCCGTTATAGCGCTGTGCTGCGTCTGCTCATCGCTCCTGACTGCGGGCGGAGGATTTGGACTCTACCAGTACAACAAGACCCACTCGACAACACCATGGTCCTGCGTCTACGTCCCGACCATCAAGATGTATACCGTTGCACGCATCAACCAGAACAACGCCGAGTGCATGTACAACACTGACGGCAATGGCTGCTATTATTTCCCAGTGAATCCAGGTGCAGCCACAGGTGATGGCAATGTCAGTCCGATGGATGAGTGTGCTAACATGATCCAAAACGTACCCACCCCGACCACACTGGCTTCCCAGCAGACGCTGAATCTCGACATTTACACCTGCGGACCCAACTCGACCAACTACAAGCTCTGGAACCGCACAGGCTACGAAGCAGCGAACGACCCGTGTGATGTCATTTTGAACAGTGACAATCGCTCGATCGTCAATATGCTCTTTGCACCGAGCACAACCACCATCAACTCGGCATACCCACCACCTGCGGCTACTTCTTGAGCTTGCTCACGATGGATGCTGGTGATGGCATACCACCCGGTCCGCTGCTGCCGCTCCCAGAATCGATGCTTTGGTAAGCATAGTACCCGATGGCTGCAATCGACGAGATGCAGCAGCAACAGCAGAGGCATGCAGCAACCAGGGCAATGATCGCTGTCGAGTCGAGACCGGAAGTCGTCTGGTCAGACGAGAACTGACTCGATGTCTTGGTTGTATTGCCCTGTGCGATTTGAGTGATGGCTTTGTTGTCGAGCATGCACTGCTGGTATGATTTGTTGGAGTTGGACTGGATGATGCCGATTGCTGTGGCACAGGGTGCGAACTGGTTCTTTTGGATAGCGGAAAGCTGTGAAGCACACGAGTTCTGCAGGTTCAGGTATGTGCTCGTGTCCATGTTGGTGCTGACCAAGTTGCAGTTGTTGTTGGAGCTGGAGTTGCTGCCAGAGAGCAGGCCCTGAGCCTTCTGGATGGCGGATGCCACAGCCTGGCTATCCACGCTGTTGGTCTGGGCCATGAGTGTCTGGACCATCGATGTCATGGTGCACTGCTGAACGGCGTCATTCACATTGGTCTGGCTGATATTGGCCATGCTGCAGTCGTGGGTCTTGCAGTACTCACACTGTGAGTTGTCGATGACGTTTGTCTGGTAAGCGGCCATGTTGTTGGAGCAAGCGTTGACGATGTTCTTGACGTCCGAGTCCGACATGGTGGTGCCGATGACATTGCGGGTCTGGTTGCTGACTTGATTGCTTCCGCTGTCAAACATACTCAAGGGGTCGAATGCTTTGACGACATTTGCGAGGCCTCCGGCAGCGGCCGTAATATTGTCAGCGGTAGATGAGATGGTCTTGCAGGCTTCTGCGGCATTAGCGCCAAACATGTTCTTTCCGGTATCGGCCTGCTCGAGCGACGGAGATGGATCGACAAACATGTAGTATCCGAGGATGATGATCACGGCCAAGTATCCAAATAGGTACACTGGAACGGGCATCTCTTGCGACGGAGGGTGTGTGGCTACCATCGGGCGACAAAAAAACGCAGTAAGGCCTTCGATACACATGTACAGCATGACGCACCAGCGATGGAGCTGCCACTCGAAGTCTGGGGCGAGATCGCCTCGTTCCTCGACATCCGATCGTGCTTGGCACTGACACGCACCTGCCGCCGATTCCTCGCATTTCATCAACCTGCATGGGAGGATACGATCTACCAGTGCTGCATCAACACCCGCAGCCTCTCGCTGATCCAGGTGATCATGCGACCGATCCCGGTTCTGTGGCGGAACGAAAGCGTCCTTCGACACTACACGCGCTTCAGCTCGATGATGCACAAGGAAGCAATGGTCTGTGAACTGCTCCGGCGTAGCCCCACATCCACTAACGATCCCGGTTTCCGAATTCTGGAAATGTTGCTCGCGTGTGGAGTGTCGCCGCACGGTGAGATTGCTGCCCGATGCATCATGTGCATCCAGAACCACGATGTCTTGGCACGTATCGTCCCTGTGATGACAGCCAATTGTGCCCGGAGGGGCGAGGAATCACTGGCGTTGTTTGCCAAGACCGCAGTCGAACGAGCGATACAGACGGGTCGCCACGAATTCATTCAAGCCTTCCTCGGGCAAGTGACACTCGATCTGGTGGACAGCATGCACTACTTTGACTGGGATCTCATCAACGAAGCCATCTATGCCGAGAGCACGATCGTGCTGGATCTCTTCTTCCAACACCAGTGGCCTCGCCCCAGGCAGGATATCGTCCAGCAAGCCGCCATCATTGGATCCAAGCGCAGCAGTGCTGTCGTTGTCGAATGGGCACTCGGCCACAATCAACTGGACGACCCTCGTGTGCTCCTCGGCCACATTATCAGCCTCTCTCCCGAGATCCACGACCTGGTTCTCCGATTCTTCCCGAACGAGACGACTCGTCTCCTGAAGCGACTACTCAAGTCACATCCAAACTCCGACCCACAGCCCTTGATCTACTACTGTCTCTGTCGATCGCCGCAGATCGACGCGGACGCCCTGGTGCTCACTGCGAGATACCAGAAACTCGAGCTCTTGCGATTCATGCTGGAGCAGATGAATCCGGAATCGTACGAGTCGGATCTGTGGTTCGACCTCCTCTGCAGCTCGGGACACAGCAACGCAACCGTGGCATTCGTGCTGCACCACCACTGCTACAGCACCAAGGAGCAAGTCGATGCACTGCGCCGATTTGTGGTGTTTGGATTCGAGCCTGGAACCAATGTGATTCTGGACATGCTCGACGATCGCGATCTTCCCGACGACATCTTGTTCCGGGCATACTTCAACATCAGCGAGTTCACTGGGATCTGTGTGTACACCCTGCTGCGTCGGGTGCTGCACATCCCCAGGATCATTGGATTCCAGGAAATGGGCGAGACCGTCCTGGAGCGGGTGATCCGCTTGCGAATGTGGTCGCACATCGTGCCTCTGGTGGATGCCGGGGTGCGGGTGTGCAATTCGCATGTGTTGCTGGCGAATGTGTATGCATGTCCCAACCGCATTTCGTGTAAGCTGGTCGTGAATGCGCCCCAGGAGGGTGAATAAAAGTCAACTCTCTCTTGTAGAGCATCACATTCTGCGTCTGGTCCCAAGAATGTACATGATTGATCAGATCCCCAAAACCATGATCCCACAGGACGCCATCCGCAATGCGGGGTGTGAAGTTGAGCCCAGATACACGGAGAGCACGCACACCGACTACCCCGGCCTCGTGCTGACCAGCAAGTGCAACGGACGAGACAACTTCCAGGCGTACATCCAAAGCGCCAAGGGTGACAAGATCCTCTATCCATGCAATCCCAAGGAGATCAACGACATACCACAGGAGGGTGACGGGCTCGGTAACATCGTGTCTGCCCATGCTGCTTCCGACGGCACGCTGATCCGCTTGGGACACATCGGCGGCAAGTGGATCATGAGTTCCAACACATGCATCAACGCCCGAGACGCTCGCTGGGGTAGTTTCAAGAGCTTCTATACGCTCTTTGTGGATACGCTGAAGGAGCGTAAGCTGACTTACCAGGATTTCATTCATAGCCTTGACCCGAGCCGCACCTACCACTTTAGTCTCGAGCACCCGGAGAACCGCAACGTGATCTTCTATCCGAACCCACGAATTGTCTTCCTAAGCTGTGCCGATGCCAGCACCGGTGAACCAGTCCTTTACTCACGCGTATCGATGCAGCCACCCACAGGGACTGAGTATCCGCCGATTGTGCTCTCTGCCAATATCCGCGGAGTCATTTACACTGCCCAAGATGGACGAGTCTACAACCACGATCTGCCTTGGTACAAGCGAGCCGGTGAACTCAAGGGGAACGAGAAGAACCTGCTGCACGCCTACTACCGGGCCTGGTGCAATGGGAACGGTGAAGAGTTCATGCGGCTCTTCCCGGATGTTGGCTTCAGTCAAAAAAAAGCCAATCTCTATATCCAGCACTTTCTTCGGCTCGTTCTGCAGCTGTATCGCAGAGTCCATGTGCAGCGGGTGTGCAAGGACGATGTGCTTTTGGACCGTGGCAGTAACGTCGGCCTGTTTGAGATTGTAGACCGCATGCTGGAGGTCTACAACGAAATGGGCACACCCATGCGACTCCCGGAGACGGCGACGGTGGTGGGTACATTTAGCGGACGTTTTATTCACGATGCCATGCGAAACGTCCTGTTTGTGGATCTCTGAACTGAAACTCAGAAATCAGCTTCGAGGTCAAAGACCTGAGGCACACCACCCAATACACCGGCCTTTCTGTACTCGCCCACGCGCTTTTCGAAAAAGTTAGTCTTGCCCTGGAGAGAGATGAGCTCCATAAAGTCAAAGGGGTTGAGAGCGTTGTAGAGCTTGGGGTAGCCGAGAGCGACGAGGAGGCGGTCGGCGACAAACTCAATGTACTGCTTCATGAGAGTGGCGTTCATACCGATGAGGGCACAGGGGAGAGACTCGGTCATGAATTCCTGTTCGATGGCGACGGCGTCCAAGATGATGGCCGTGACGGTCTCGGCCGGGGGCTTCTCGGTGAGCTTGGAGTAGATCAAGCAGGCAAAGTCAGTGTGGAGACCTTCGTCGCGCGAGATCAGCTCGTTGGAGAAGGTCAGGCCGGGCATGAGGCCGCGTTTCTTGAGCCAGAAGATGGAGGCAAAGGCACCCGAGAAGAAGATGCCCTCGACAGCGGCAAAGGCGAGGAGGCGCTGGGCAAAGGGGGCGTCTTGGTCCTCGATCCACTTGATGGCCCAGTTGGCCTTCTTCTGGATGCAGGGGATGGTCTCGATAGCACCAAATAGGCGAGTGCGCTCCTCCGTGTCCAGGATGTAGGTGTTGATCAGCTGGGCGTACATCTCCGAGTGGATGTTCTCCATCATGATCTGGAACCCGTAGAAGGCGCGGACCTCGGGGAGCTGGGTCTCGG